CAAGATATCAGGAGATACTCCGCTGAAAAGCTTAGTTTTAAATAGAGAAAGAGTTACCGTCTGTTTATGGAAAGTGATATACGTTTCGTATAAATTTCCATATAAAAACATTTATTCACATAAACAGATTAAAGTATTAAATAGGAGCCGAGGTCATTTATAGATATGATGAAATCGTGACGGGAGGTCTAGGGAACTGTGTTGGGGCAAACACTGAGGGGGAAAACAAACCTCCCAGATCCTAAGTTTCCTAACCCGTTAGGTGGGGATGACTCCACCTGCCTCGACAGCCTCCTAGTAATTGTGGTCACGGTCACGTAGAAGACAGAGCAAGTGCTGCACACTTGCGGGGGTTATCATTTTACACTCAGACCAAAGTACAAAAGGTTGGTGAGTCCACGTCATGTTGAGTGGCCGAGTCAGGCGGCTGGAGCAGCCAGGTCCCCGCAGGACGGCATGGGGCTCCTTATACACACTGGCTTGCCCTGCAGGCATCCAGCTCTGACGCTGGGAGGAAGCCAGGGCTGGTTTAGACTGCAGCGGGAGAGACTAAAGTTTGACAAGAAAGAAATTTTTAGAGGAAGTGCTGGGGGCGAGAGATGGACTGTGGGGTGGTGTGGATGCGAGGAGGTGGTGAGACCTTTCTCAGAAAGGACTCACACAGGATACACTTGTCATGGGTGTTGTGCTGGGTGGGGGAGCAGGCTACCTCTGTGCATGTGTGCATACATGTGTGTACAGGCATGTAGGAGTGTGTGTGAGCTGGGGTGGAGAAAGAGAATAGTGACTGTTAGAGCCATTCCCACTAATCAGAACTAATTAGACCCTCTTGCAACTTTTCCAGGGCTTCCCAGGGTGGCTCAGTGGTAAAGAATCCGCCTGCCAATGCAGGAGATGCAAGAGACCCAGGTTTGATCCCTGGGTCAGAAAGATCCCCTGGAGGAGGAAATGGCAACCCACTCCAGTATTCTTGCCTGGAGAATCCCGTGGACAGGGGAGCCTGGCAGGCTACAGTCCAAGGGGTCACAGAGTTGGGCACGACCGAGTACACACATGCATGTGACTTCTCTGCCTGAGCCCTGGGGGAAGTCGGGTGTGATTCAGCAGTGGAGACCAGAGAGGAGCTCAGCACCCGCATCTTGGAGATGGGGACTCACTGTTCATTTCTAGCTCAGGATTCTCTCAGACTCAGCCCCTTTCTTTTACAGCCACCCAGCACTGCTCTCTCTTGTTGCTCTTCGGCAAGAGACACTCTGGGATCTGATCACGTCCCACGCTCTGGGGAAGACAGCAGCCTGCCCTCTGGCCCTTTCTCCTTGGGTGACATCACTCCCCTGGGGCTGCTGGGAGCAGCAGCTCGCCTCCCAGTCAGGCCCCAGCGGATGCTCTGACCTCCCCGATGCCCCCTGGCCTCCCTGTTTCCCAGCCTCGGCCTTCCTTCTTCCATTCTCAGCCCCCTCACAGCTGCCTCTTGCCCTGCAGTGTCAGGGCTCCATGGCCAGCTGACTGAATCCGGCTGGACAGTGGGTAGGGGGTTGCTGAGGCTTCCCTTTCCTTCCTCTCTCCTTCCTCTGCGTGGGGCCACGGTGGGAGAAGGGACCGGACGAGACGTTTCTCCTTGATCAGGCCAGTTAGATGAACAGAATTCTGTCACTACTTTGTGTTAAGGTTCACTGAGGAAGAAATGTGCGGAAGTTCTTAGGAAGTCCTAAACTAAGAAAACAGCCACACATAAACACACATTACATCATGTCATCTGTTCAAAGCTGGACCAGGAAGGAGCTCTTATTCCCATTTTAAAGAATGCAGAAATTAAAAGACACACTTTAAATAGCCTGCCCAGATTACACGGCAGAGCTGGGATTTGAACCCTGTTCCGTCTGTCTCCAGTACCCAAGATCTTAACCAGAACACTATCATTTTCCATAGGGCTGTAACTTCAGCTCTTATTTACTTAAATGGGGCCTCTTTTTAATGGGCAGCCCTGAGTTCATACATTACCCACACATTCATTCTCACTGGAAAAAACGGTACAAAATATCAGAGTTATTTCTTAAGGATTTTTCCATACTGGAAGAAATTGAATGGGGTCATTTCATTCCTCCCACCGCCTCTGATCTGGACTGTGTTTAGCCTTCTGGAAGGAAGCCTGCGAGCTCCGACTCCGTGCCTCTTGGTGAAATGAAACCTTGAGAAGCGTCCCCGACTCTTTCTCCCTGGGTAGTGACTGATCGTCTGAGGGCAGCAAGCAGTCTAGGAGGGGTGACTCGGGGTACTCCGTGTCCATTTTATGGATATGTAGCAAGTGCAGAGGTGCTGGCTGGGTTCTGGGGTAACACACTGATGTGCAGACCTCAGTCTCTGCCCCCAAGAAGTAGATGCTCAATGAATGTTTCATGAACAACGCAGCACTTATACGCACAGAAGAGCTGGGGCAGTTCTGAGAGGGGTGAGCATTTTAAGTGTCACAGAAGAGGTTCGACAGGAGCTTGGGGTGTATATGGGAGCAGATTATGCTTCTGAAGGTTGGAGGTCTGTGGTTTGGTGGCCAGGGCTGGCGAGGAGGCTCCTGCTGCACTGCAGAGAGTGGAAGGACAGATGTGCAACATCTGGGGACAGGAGCCGGGGTGGAAAAGCCAAACTTGACCCCACGGCTCCAGGTTGGGGTGAGCGTACAGGGAGGGGACAAAAATAGGAGAGTCAGAGCAGCAGTTTGCCGGGAAGGGACCTTGAGGAGTTTGGTTCAGGGCTTAGAGTCTCCTGACTCTGCTCTGGGTCTTCCAGTTGTGGCCAGGCTGCCCCCCAAAGGCATGAGTCAGGAAGGTGGCAGCCACAGGAGACAGAGCAAGGGGCTGCCTGCACATGGGGGCCACACCACAGGCTGTGTCTCTAGCTGCTGCTGCCACCACGCAGATGGAGCAGGCTTGCCCAGCAGCCTGGCAGGCCCCAGGCTGTCAGGTCCGACCGCCACTTCTTGCCCTTTCTTTGGCAATGTGCTGAGTGTGGGCAGTTCTTTACTCAGCCAAGGCCTCCTTGGCTTCCTCCACTGTCCATTAGCACCGCTGGCTCTGGAGAGCCTGACCACCAGGGAAGCCCGGCCAGGGCCCCTAACCCCTACCAAAGTCAAAGTTGGCAGGGGCGGGTCTGACCCCAAAGCCCGAGAGGCTCAGCTGCTGGCACAGTGCTGCAGAGTCTCTGCGCCTTCCCTCTGAGCCCCCCACCCCTGCACCCCAAGGGCTGAGCTCTCTGCCTTAGGACACGGCTGGGAGGTAAGATGATCCCTGCGGGTCTCCAGGGGGCTTAAGAAACAGATGGTCCTCTCACATGAGGTTTGCCATTGTAACTTGAGCAGATCTGGAGAGGGAGCTGGCAGGACCGAGGCAGCTTGGGCCCCGGGGACGGGAACCTTGTGAATGTTATCAGACGCAACATCCCCTGCCCAGCCTCCAAACTGGGCCCTCACCCAAGTCAGTCTCTCAGCCCCTTCCAGCTGGCACCTGGGGCTCGAGCCTTAGACACCCACGACGGGGCTGGGGACCCTGTCCCCACTCTTGGTGAGGGCAGTGTAGCCAATTGGGCTAAGACGACAGGAAGAGCTCTGGAGCCAAGTCTTGAGAGCAGCTGAGAGAGGACAGGTGTTTGGAAGGGAGAGAAGGGCTGGGCAGAGCTGGGTAGCGTGCATGCATGCTCAATTCCTTAGTTGTGTCCAACCCTTTGTGACCCTATGTCCTGCAGCCCACCAGGCTCCTCTGTCCATGGAATTTTCCAGGCAAGAATACCGGAGTGGGTTGCCATTCCTTCTCCAGGGGATCTTCTTGACCCAGGGATTGAACCCTTGTCTCCTGCATTGGCAGGCAGGCTCTTTATCACTGTGCCACCTGGGAAGCCCCAGAGCTGGGCAGGGGTCTCAGCCAAACAGAAGCTTCCTGACTCCTTACCTCTCTCTTGACCAGTCAGATGTGAACAGCAGTGAAATGAAACCTCAGGCCTACTCTCTGAGCTCCTCCTCTTCCCCTAACGTTCCTCTCAATCCTCTTCCACTGCCCAGCACTCCTGAGGTGGTGCTTGGTGGTTAGGACCCTAGCATTGGGAGTAAGATGTCCTGGCTTCGAATCCCAGCAACATGAGCTGGGTGACCTTAGGCAAGTAAGTTCACGCTGCATTGTGGCTAATGCATATGTTAACATGAGAATTATAATACCAACTTCCTAGGGCTTATATAAAGATAAAACGAGATGGTGGGCACAGAATACTTAGCTCACTTCCTGTTCACAGTAACTGCTCACAAACTGTTATTGTCATTGTCATCCTCGTCTCGTGAAGGCTCAAGAGAAGCAGGCAGAGACACAGAGGACACAGATGGACACAGAAGTTTTTGTACCCTCAAACTGATCTTGGCCCCGCATCTTACTATCTATGTCGTCTTGAGCAAGTTACTTATGTGCCTCAGTTTCCTTATCTGTAAAATAGGAACAGTATTAGTCACTACCTCATAGAGTGGGCTTTCTGGTGGCTCAGACAATAAAGAATCTGCCTGCAGTGCAAGAGACCTGGGTTTGATCCCTGGGTTGGGAAGATTCCCCTGGAGGAGGAAATGGCAACCCACTCCAGTATTCTTGCCTGGAGAATCACATGGACAGAGTATCCTGGCAGACTACAGTCCCTGGGGTCACAAAGAGTCAGACGTAACTGAGCGACTAACACTTTCACTTTTCGTGGAGTAGTTGGAGAGATTAAATTTTGATTAATTTATCCATATGCGTATGTGTATACCTATATGTAGCTTAGGACAGTGCCTGTCTTAGCAAGTCAGCTGCTATTAATATTATTTCCTTAATCTAGCCATATCTGTGTTAAAACCCCTCCTCTCCCAGTCCTGATCTGCACTATCTAGGCCGGACAGAGGCGAGGTCAGCGGCAGGCTGGAGTGACCCTGGAGGTGTATATTTGGGGAGCAGCCCTTCCCCTGGCTCACGGGCCCTGTGCTCTCTCCCCTGCAGATGTCCATGAAGGAAGTGGGTGATGGCTTGCAGGATCAGATGAACTGTATGATGGGGGCGCTGCAAGAACTGAAGCTCCTGCAGGTGCAGACGGCCCTGGAGCAGCTGGAGATCTCTGGAGGGGGTCCTGCCCCAGGTTCTCCCGAAAGCCCCCGGACACAGCTTGAGCCCCCTCAGTGGGAGGGGCCCTGCTCCCCCTCCAACCAAGCTTCTCTTGGCAGCACCAGCAGCGCCAAGTTTCCGTCGCCTAGGAGTGTGTGTGGGAGGGAGCTGGCCACCCCGCCCAGGACACCGCTGCCAGAGCCCCAGACCTGTGCCCAGCAGGGGCCAGAGCTGGCGGAACCCGATGACTGGACCTCCACGTTGATGTCCCGGGGCCGGAACCGACAGCCTCTGGTGTTAGGCGACAACGTTTTTGCGGACCTGGTGGGCAACTGGCTGGACTTGCCAGAACTGGAGAAGGGTGGCGAGAAGGGTGAGACAGGGGAAGCGGGAGAGCCCAGAGGAGGGAGGGGCCAGCCTCGGGAGCTGGGCCGCAGGTTCGCCCTGACAGCAAACATCTTCAGGAAGTTCTTACGTAGCGTGAGGCCTGACCGCGACCGGCTGCTGAAGGAGAAACCAGGCTGGGTGACACCCACGGCCTCTGAGCCCCGAGCTGGACGCTCCCAGAAGGTCAAGAAGCGGAGCCATTCCAAGGGCTCTGGACATTGCCCCTTCCCAGGTGCCTCGGAGCCCAGAAGAGGGGAGAATGCTTCCACCAGCTGCCCCAAGGCCCTGGAATCCTCACCCTCGGGCTTTGATATTAACACAGCTGTTTGGGTCTGAATCCTAGAGACAGAAATGTGACTGAACCCAAAAGGGCCAGGTCCCAGTGCTAGGCCCCTGGGAAACAGGCCAGGCGGGGTCCCTTCCCCCAAGGAAGGACCAAGAAGAAGCAAGAGGGCCTGGAGCACGGTCGACAGGCCTGTGGTTGGGAGAGGCTGTGGCAGGGGCTGGCTGGTGGGGGAGGGGAGAGTTCCTGGACAGACAGAGAGCGTGTGTTGCGACCCGGCTGGAGGTAACAGCAGAGGAGGGCCTGAGGGAGGAGACCAGGATATCCATCTGACATTCCTTCACTGCCCCCAAAGACCTCAGTTGAACATTCTGCATGGATCTGGCACTGGGGCCTCAGGTTCCCCAGAGATGCCGCCAATAAAGACCTTGTTTCTCCTGTCCCCAGGCTCGTGTGCTTCCTTGGCACAGCACTGCTCCAGCACAGGTATTAAAGCCCAGCCCTCCTGGGAGTGGGAGCAGAGCGGCAAACTCCCACCCCACTGCCTTCTGTTGCCTTTGAGATTTCAGCCCATCCCCAGACCCTGGGCCACGGCTGAATAAGGAGTGTGTGTATAAGGAGTGCATGGGAAAGCCCACGCCTTTCCACAGGCTCAGGAGAGAAAGCCGGTATTTGTAGAGCACACTAAATATTTGGGATCCTTTTCATATCCATGATCTCCCTTGTAAATGGGCAAGAAAGGCAGGTAATATTCCCAATTTCCAGATGAGGAAACACGCCTGGATGTGCTACCCCATCCAAGGATGGGCTGCAGGCAGTGGCTGACTAAAGAGCAGATGCTGGCCTCTAGAACCCCACATACTCCTTCCGCAACACCCTGTCCCCAGGACACAGCCCCCACCCAGGGCTCAAGAACCTGTAAATTCACCAGTGAGGTGAGGGCGAGCCAAGAAGAAATGCACACTCGGTCCTCATCTTCCCCTCGTCCAGATCAATCCACGGTAGAGGGGCAGTGGCTTTGCCCCAGCACGGAGGCTGCACCTAAAGCCTCACTGGGCACGTGGCCCGGAGAGCCTGCTGCCAGATCCAGGGCCCGCCCACTCGGGTGGGGAACACCCACGGGCTGGGAAAAGACAATGTGGGTCCCTGTTTGGGCCGAGCCTGTCCGGGAGGGCACTCCCTTCCTCCTCCTTCGCCTTCTCCTGGCTGAACTCCCCTCTGCCTGATGGGGGTGGGGAGTGACAGCTGCAATTAGAGGCAAGACGCCTTCCTGCCCTCAGAGCATTTAATAGCAAACTGGGGAGGAAAAATAACAAGGCTCTTCCTGAATCCTGGACCCCCAGGGGAGAGATGGAGGGAGGGGGCTTAGCATGAGCAGCCCCACAGCTCTAGTTGGGAGGTGGTTAGGGTCACCCTCAAATTCCCACACAATCACATGGTAGATGTATATATAGTTCTGGGTGGTGGAAGCTACAAGACGAAAGGTGCTTCCCCCTCTTGCCCCCCCCCCGCCTTTTTTTTTAGAGCTGGCTATATGCTAGGCAGTGGTGCACGTGTCAAAATAACCCTCGAAGGTATTGTTAATACCTGGTCATTCAACGGAGGCTCTCAGGAGTCATGTAAGCTGCCCATATCAGATTACTAGCAAATGAAAGAACCAGGCTTTGAAACTGAGCCGACTAGATCCAAAACCCCTGTCCTCTCCTCTCTTATCCCTGGAGTTTGCCAGCCAAGCTAGCCCCTTCTGAAGGAGCAAGCCCCCACCCATCGTTTCTATCTCCACAGAGATCTGAAGCCCAACCTAGGTGAAGGCTTATTGGCCGTGGCTGCCTTGGGCGGTGGAGGGTTGTCTGTGTGGAGATTCCACCTACTGATTCGTTGAGTCCTGAGGCAGGAGACAGGGGCTGCTGGTTTAAGGAGAAACTTTGCTGTGTGCTTAATCGCTCAGTTGTGTCCCACTCTTTGCGACTCCATAGACTGTATAGTTCACCAGGCTCCTCTGTCCTTGAAATTCTCCAGGCAAAAATACTGGAGTGGGGAACCATTTCCTTTCTCCAGAGGATCTTCCCAACCCAGGTCTCCCGCTTTGAAGGTGGAGCTATCTTTACAGTCTGAGCTATCAGGAAAGCCTGGGGCAGAAGCTGCTGCTGCTAAGTCACTTCAGTCGTGTCCGACTCTGTGCGACCCCATCCCTGGGATTCTCCAGGCAAGAAGACTGGAGTGGGTTGCCATTTCCTTCTCCAATGCATAAAAGTGAAAAGTGAAAGTGAAGTCGCTCAGTCAGGTCCGACTCTTCGCGACCCCATGGACTGCAGCCTACCAGGCTCCTCCGTCCATGGGATTTTCCAGGCAAGAGTACTGGAGTGGGGTGCCATTGCCTTTTCCGGGGGCAGAAGCTACCCAGCAGTTATTTAAGAAGGCACCAGCTCTGATTCAGCAATGATCATACAGGAAACCAAGTCACCTCTTGGCCACTCATCTGCTTTGTGGACCAGTCACTGCAATGCAGACCAACTGAACAAAACTTTCTCAACAGCTCCCCCATGCCAGGTACTGTAGTCGGAACTAACAACAGACCAATGACAAGGACCCAGTATTCCTGACTCAAGGGATCCAGCAGGAAGAAAGAAGCAACTCGTAACCCATCAGTGAGCTAGAAAGGATCTGAGGAAATGAAAACTCACTGTAACTTGGGCCAGGACAAAGCAATTAGTGACACTTGCTGCCACATACTTGCAGGTGCTGGGCACTGTCATCTTCATGCTCTTATTTCCTTGTGACCACATTCAGGAAGCGGCTGCTGTTACTCTTGACTCTACACGGAGAGGCTCAGAGAAGGTGAGCAACTTGCCCAGGGTCCCGGTGCCAGAGCTGGGATTGAAGCAGTTCCGCCTGACTTGCAGGCTAGAGCTTTCACACCGCCCCACAAACTGCCCGTATTTACTCCAAAGCCAAGTCAAGAGGAACAACAACAAAACCCACCCTCCCCGCATTATCCACGCATGGAGAATAAATGGAATGCTGGCTGCCCGTGGCAGTGGTGGAATTTAGCCTGGGTCTTGACAGGGTTCATGTAGCTAGCGCCCCATCCCATGCCTTGCTGATGAAAGACTAGGGTTGACTCATGTGTGTCCCCCTGCTGCCCCGTTATTTTTCCTTCTCCCTCCCTTTCAGGGCTCCTGCTGGGGAAATGATGGAGACTGTATTTTACTGACACTGAGGGGACAGGTAAACAGGAACATGTGAAGCCTAAGCGATACAGGAATGTGGGGGGCCGTGTGCGCAAGGGGAAGTAGTGGAAGGAAGTAGAAAACTGACAGCTTAATCCTGCCCCTGGGGCTCATTTTATGGCTAATTAGGACATGCAAATTAGTTGGAAACTCATTTAATACCCTCCCTGGCAAGAGGCCTGCCTCACACCTGGCCCACTTCCCTGGGCAGGTGTAGGGGTCCCCTGACTGGCTCAGGCATCGGCTTGGGGCCCCACATGGCCACTCTGTGGCCCTGGGACCAGAGTGTGTCTATAGGTTATCTCTGACCACAAGCAGGAGCTAAAAGAGGCCCTGCTGGGATGGCCGGAGGGCTGATTGGTCTCCTTCATCTTCCCATCTCTTTAGGCCTGGGACCTCTCTTTTCCAGAGGGTCCGTCTCCCTCCAGCACTTCCCCTGCACCACCCCTCAGGTGAGATCTGAACTCAAACTTGCCCTGAGGACTAGAGGCCTGGTTCAGCTCTGTCCCCACCACACGTCCCTGAGAAAGCGGGACCCTTCATCTTTGCCAAGTCACAGCAACATTTCCTACAGTCTCCATGAGACAGAAGCCCCGCCTGTCTCTCTGGGGAGCAGGGCCAGGAGACCGTCTTCCTGTCACTGGGTAAGCTCGATGGGGTTGCCTGACCTCCCTGAGCCTCACTGTCCTCAGTGTGAAACAGAGAGCATGCAGGGCTGCTGGGAGGGGTGAGGGCGTGAGGCACCTCCAGGTCTAGAACCCTGAGCAGAGCAGCCCAGTACATATTGGATGACCGACCTTCACTTCAGGCACTGACCATGTGATCCAGGGCAAAAAAGCTGAAAGATAGGAAACAGCTTTGTCTGATCCCCAGTCTCCTCTCCTGGCCCTATTACCCCACGGGGTTATAGCAAGGATCAGAGAAGACAGTAAGTGCAAACATGTTGTTGTACATTGTAAAAATGTTCCCCAGATGGGCTGTTGGCCAAACAGCAAACAAACAATTTACACTTTTCTGTGGAAGGATATGTGTGCGCGCGCGCGTGTGTGTGTGTGTGTGTGTGTGTGTGTTGGGGTGGGGCAGGCTACGGAGGGGTACCCAGCACAGGCTGAGCTCAGAAATGCTTGAAAACCCCCCACTGCCTGAGGATGTGCTGGAGGGGGCACTCTGACCCCCTCCACACCCCAGCTCTCCCTCACTGTAAACCCCCAGGGCCCTCGAATTGCTGGCAAGGACTAAAGAGGTGATGAGCCAAGTTCTGATGGTTTTAAGCGGTCAGGCCTCCATCTGTGTGCTCTTTAAGGTCTTAGCCGCCGAGTCCCTGCCTGGCCCCACGGCCCTGCTTCTCCCCGCAACCCCCCAGCGGCCCTGAGGGTTTCACAGCCCTGGCTGCGGCTGCCTTCCGAGAATCCACTACCTCTGACAGGGTGAGAGGGAGGCTTCTGCCGAGTCCTACCGTTCATGAGAGGCTCAGGCTGGTGCCGCCAGGGGAAGGGTGCTGGCCTAGAAGGGCCTGGCAGACCCTTCTAGAGTACAAGGACCCCAGACTGCAGCCCCCTCTTCCTACTATCATCAGGATGCCCGACTCCCCTCGTTGTTGTTAGTTGCCAAGTCATGTCCAACTCTTGTGGCCCCAAGGACTGTAGCCCTCTAGCCTCCTTCCTCTGTCCATGGGGTTTCCCAGGCAAGAATACTGAAGCAGGTTGCCATTTCCTTCTCCAGGGGATGGATCTTCCTGACCCATGGATCGAACCCGAGTCTCCTACATTGGCAGGTAGATCCTTGACCACTGAGCCACCAGGGAAGCCCTGACTCCCCCACCCAACACTTAAACAGGATGATGAAACCTCGTTCCCAGATTCCCCCTGAGGTTGACAGAGGACCTATTTCCTGCCTGTGCCCTTCAATCAGTTCCGGCACTTCCCTCCACCCACCACCACCAAGCCCCAGATGTAGTCAATACACCCCCAAAGCCCAGGACACGCACACACACATGCACTCAAGGGCATCACAATTCAGTCAGTCTCTCCAATGTCCCTAAAACGGAGTCCACATTCTTGTCGCCACTGGAGCCCACCTCTTTCTTCCTGGCCCTCGAAGTGTCCTGACCCCACACTCCGCCCCCATCTCTCTCTGAAAGCATCTTTGTTACTGGTCAGAGAGAGCTCTCCAAGGAACACAGGGGGAGGGAGCCTTTCTTGGGCACCTATTCCTCC